CGGGGCCGGGGCGTGGAGGGCGGGGCCGGACCGGGCGCGCGCCCGTCGAGCCCCACGGAGCCGGCTCCGACTGAGGGTGCGGCGCACGCAGCGCCCACTCGCCTTCTTATGCAGCTGTGTGGGGCTGCCCGGGAGGCTGCGGGCAGAAGCCACCTCCACATGCACCTGCTGTACGGAACCCCGTGGTGACAATCGTTATTACTACTATTATGCTTAATGACAATGACCACTATTATTTGTTTAGTCTTCTCGATTACACGCTGCTTAACTCTTATCTAGGGTCTGGGCTGGCATTTCTTAATGCTGCGCTTTTGCGCGGCAGAGTCCGTTGCTAGTTTTGCAGTATCCTGGAAAAGCGCACTTTGTTTTCCTTCTGTTTCTTTAATCCAACCGATTTTGTCTTTCTCTTCTTTAAAGTTCCTGGTTGAAGAGGAGCTGTGTAGGAATAAGGGGACTAGGGGTCCAGGTTGCTTTAGAAACCCATTTCTCATTGTCATAGTCATTTGTTGTGATTATCGTATTGTAGCTTTTCTCCTCTGTCATGGTGTTGATGAACCTGTACGTACAGTGTACATATGCACAGTGATCGTTTGTGTTTGCACGTTTGTGTATGTTTCTCTGGAGATTTGAGGAAGAAAGCGATTTTATTGGGTAGACGTGTAAATCCCAACTCGGACAGTAAAATATATGGGCATTCCTTCTTTTTTTTTTAATATAAGTGCAGGTGCAGGAACTTTAGTAACAGATGTTGGAAGATGAGAGACTTCTGTATAAATATAGTTCTAGTTTTGAGAACCTTTCAAAATGTATGTCCTAACCAAGACCTCCATTTTCTGCTTAGAAGCAAGTATATATTTTTAAATAACAATGAAAGAAATGAAAAAGTAAAAGTCATGCCTCTATTTCGTCAGACTCTGGGAAATACGCAACTTGTTTTCCTTTAGGGTGTTAAATGTAGGTTCCCCACCCACCCCCGCCTCCACCTGGTTTGATTACTGTGTCCTAATTAGATTGCTGCCCCAAATCATGGATTTATCTCAGTTTTGCTTGTGTCTGCTTCAGACAGACAAAAAAGCTGAACACAAATGGCAAATCCAACTGTTAGGTTTTTGTGTCAAGTAATATATTTTGTATCTGATGTTGCAGCATTCTTAGGAAATTGTGTGTGTGAACACAATGCCTATATTTTTAGTTCATTTAATATATTTGTACATATTTTGTATGTGTGAAAAATGTTTAAATTCTTAAGCATAAAAATGTGTAAGTGCCAATATGTAAATTGGGCCAGGTTCCTATGCTCTTAAAAGACTTTTGCACCATGAGAACTACTGGGATTCAGTTTTACTGACCGATGCATGGCCTTGAAAATTTGGGCTTAGTAGTGCAAAGTCAAAATCTAGGCAATGTGCTTATCAATATATATTTTTGAAATGCTTTGTCATACATGGAATCAGGCATCAGACTTTATTCCGTGAAGATTTCTTCTAGCAAGTACCAAGCCAGAGCCTAATATTTTGCTTTCTACTGCTAGTTCTACTACTTAGCAGCAAACATTTAAGTAAATGAGATTATTATTATGAAAAGAAAATCCAAGGCTTGGTGTGTTTTATATGTATATATCAGTTATTCTAACACATCTTACATGCTTCATCTATAGAAATGAGGTACAAATGGAGGAGGGATTTAGAAAGCACCAATGTAATTCGACTTGGATTATTTTATTGCATATTATATTTTGAAAATTATTATTAATACCTCGATTTTCTTTCTTTTTAAAATATGTCTCTTTGAAATAAGGTAGCTCCCTCTTTGACTGTAAGGGTCTATTTTATCAATTGTACAGTACAGTCAGCCTACTTATTTCTCCCATCAGCTTTGCAGTTTGGCACAACGATGTGAAGCTTGTCAAAGAGAACCAAATCGCTTTTGCTCTATTTGCAGATTGCATTAGGCCAGGGTAACGGTGAGTGCCAAAATTATATATCCTGGTTTTTTTGTTTGTTTGTTTGTTTGTTTGTTTTTTTGATGTTGCTAAAATGAGATAAAAGCCTTATATGAAGGCAACCCTAGGCACCTCACAGGTAATGTTACTGATCTTCTTCGTGAGTAGGGGCTGGCTTGGGGAACCTCAGATTTGATATTGGCAAAGGACACAGGCAGCTCTGTTGGAATGACGTAGAAATTTTTGCCAGAAATCTTCACTATTTTTTTATATACCTCCCTTTTCCTACTTAAATAAATAGGAGAAAATATTATTAAAATATAAAGTTAAAATATAGTATTTAAAATATGTTATATATTAAAATAAGGAGCCCTGGTGGCACAGTTGGGCTGCTAACCAAAAGGTAGGCAGTTCAAATCCACTAGCTGCTCTTTGGAAACCCAATGGGGCAGTTCCACTCTGTCCTATAGGGTCGCTATGAGTTGGAATCGACGCGATGACAACTTTTTTTTAAATATATTAAAATATAAAAACAAATATCTTTTTCATTTTAAACAGGTCAGAGTTTTTCTAAACAACTGGGTAAGTGTGGATTTAATTCAACATTTTACCTTATTGAAATAACTAGAGTAATTGTGCTTTCGTGCTCATATTAGTTTTTAAAAGTTCCTTCAAAAAATTAATAGTTATTTTTGAGTGCACTTTGGGTAAACTGATGAGTTTCCAGGGTAAGACCAGGGCACTAAAATGCTTTTGCGGAACAGGTATTTTCTTGGTCTGAATTAACCAGACTGCCTGTTTATATTAATTATTTACTGAGAAATGTCCTTAGACTTCACCAGTCACAAAGGCTTAAATGTAAACATTTATTTCGTGTTTTTTTTTTTTTTTGTTGTTGTTGTTGTTATCACCTACGGAACAGTTTTATGCTTTCTTAAATGCTAATAAAGATATTTTGAAGAAGCTGCTTTTTACCCTCCATATCTCACTGTAATGGCAAAACGTCACTCCTGTTCTTAAAGACTTTTTGGCTAGTCATTTCTTTTTATCTTTCAAGATGATAGTTACTTCTTCTCCTTTGTGTGAACTAGAGGTCCTGGGATTACTTTCAAAGAGAACGAATAATAAGTAAATGTCACGCAACCTACATCACAGAATTAAAGGAAATATTCTCAAACATAATGAAAGGACAACATTTATTTGTTTTAAAAAGTGTATTAATTTTGCAGAAGTTGTGTGATAGATATATTTACAAAAT